TTTTTTCTCTACAGTTTTTTTTTGCACTTGAAATTGCCTAGCTACTTCCTGATCAAATGGGTATTTTGTTTTTTCCGAATATAATTTATCACGCTTTTTCATCAAGTTAATGAATTCCACTGTAATCCAATCCTTACCTTCTTTATGTTTTATTTTATGTTGAGTTGATGATTCATTTTTGCAAACCTGTATGGCTGATGAAAGTTTCTCAAAGCTATTTATTTCATGTCTGTTTCTCAGTTGTTGGAATTTGTCTCTAAACATATTTTGATTCACTACTGTATGATTGTAGTATGTTTTTTTCAGGATATTTGGAGTCTTTGAATTATTTTTGAGTAATATATTTAAAATTTTATGGTCTGTTATATGGTTTCCGATGGATATGTGGCAGTCTAAACTTTTATTTGTCAGTACATGGTCTAGGATAGATTTGGAGTCTGTAGTTAGGCGTGTTACATAATCTTCCCCAATCATATTACAAATCTTGAAACCATTTAAAGTTACTGTGTTCATGTAAGTATCATGCTCAGGGGAGTTATTCTTAAGGAGATCAATATTTATATCACCTATCAATATAGATTTTGTTCTGCATTTGTTTAGGATATTATCTAATTCAGGTATAAAGTCATTGATTAAGTGACTTGGTGGCTTGTATAGTCCAATTATTTTGAGTTTACTATCCAAGAGATTGATACTTACAAGATTATACACCTTATCACAACTAACTTCAGAGACAGTGAATTTCAGTGTGTTTTTAACAAAAATTGAACAACCTCCACCTCGCGTACCTCTACAAGAATGAATTCCATTATATCCATTTATCACAAATAATTCAGTCTCATATGAGTAATACCAAGTTTCAGTGATCACAAGTATATCACAGTTTGTTTCTTTGACATAACAGCAGATATCATCATGTTTATTTCTTGCACTTTGTGCATTTAGATACATAATATTTATTCCATCCTTGTAGTCTTCTTTTTCTTTTCTTAGTAGTTTTTTAAATCCTCTTCTCTCATTATCTTCAATACTTTACTGTTTTCATCTTTGCGAATGAATATGTTTCCTTGAGAATACCATACAAACTTGTAATTGTTTTCTTTCTTAAACTTTCTTGCCAGCATGAATATGTATTGGTTGTACTTGGTAAGATCATGGTTAATGTATTGCCGAAAATAAAGGTACTATATTCTTGAGCAAAATCTATATTCTTTGAGATACCTCGTATACGAAAAAAATCGAAATGTGATATTTACATTCTCGTTCTCAGGCCATGCAGAACTTTTTATAAAGAATTACTTTTTTCCGTAAAATCAATTATAAAATAGTTTTTCATATGGTGCGAACTTGGGTAGACACATCCTTCCAACAATTGTTCCTCTCTTGGCTGTCCCCGCGAGATTAACCCGTCGAGTTGGGGCTTTGCACCCCTTCGTGGTCACTTTGAAGACTTGCAGAACATCTCTTTCCAAAGACTCGTTCATCCAACGAACAGCGAGGCTCTGGAACACATTGCCAAGGGAGGTGGTCCCTGAGGCATATAACCTCCAGAAAATCAAGGAGAACACCAATTCCTACCTTATTTCCCTTGGTTCTCACGATGTTCTCTGAATATTACAGGATATCCCTTTTCGTGAGAACCAGAACATAAAAAATGCTTGCCGCCTCATTATTGGGTTATCTACCTGTCTAGCGGTCTATTTGATGAATAAATAAATAAATAAATAAATAAATAAAATAAATATGATAGTTCACTTTTTGTTACTCTAGGTGTATAATATAATATTAACAGAAGTTAGGAATAGTAGAAATGAATAAAATGGAAATAAAATATTGGACTCACTAATCAGTGTAGTGTATTTTCGTGCCAAAGGTTCCAGTCTTCGATATATTGAGATGAGATATATCACAAAAAACAGAATTTGAACTGAAACCGTCGATCAAATTAGAAAGTTATCAGAGGAACTGAAAAAAGTCAGGGTTGAAGATATTCTACCAGATTGTACACTACATTCACAATTTCCGTTCCCCATATCAAGTGCAGATAATTTCGATAAGCTTGTGAAATATCTTTCTGGTTGAGTTGAGTATAATATAGTATAGATGTCTGAGTACTAAGTAACCTGAAGTTATGTGGTGTGTCGAGGTAGTGTCTCCTATGTGTCAGGGCATTCGGGGTAGGAGACACAACACAGGCTGTGATAAAGACAAGCGCCTATTCCCACGGTGTCACAATTCGTCATCGATAACAGTATAACAACTCTTTTGATGTTTTGGAAAAGAAAAGAATTTTTATTTGTTATAGGCACGGCAGCTCGTTTGTTTGGGAGCAGGTCGTGAGTTAGTTCTTTTTATTGTTTACTAGTGGGGTTATCCTTTTGGCAGGCGCCACTCAGTTTTCACAGCTGAATTATTGAGAAAAAAATCCAAGATATAAATATAAGCCGAAATAATTGTTAACAGATTTATTCACCTTAACATTCCAACAATAGGTATTCAAAATGGTGGTAAATATGTTCTATGATTGTAACTCAGTACAAGGGTAGATTTCCCTTCATATAGGCCTATACTTTGGGTTTACAGAGTCTCTAACAGACCCAATAATTCTATTATATATAAACTCCGATCTTAGACTGTTATGTGTTATTGACAAGTGTTCAAATATCTCATGACATTGGACAGTGAAAAATAACTATTTAAATGTCCTCAGACAGTGAAAAAATATGGTATGTTAAATGTCTTCAAGACAGGGAAAAAATATGTATGTTCAATGTCTTCAAGACAGGGAAAAAAGTACATGTTAAATGTCCTTAGACAGGGAAAAAATATGCAAGTGAAATGTCCTGAAGACAGGGAAAAAATATATATGGAAAATTCTGACCTTAGCTGCAAGTTCTGGATTTTGTACCATGAGATTCCAACTGTGGTCCACTAGATCTCACTACCTGGATGAAACAAAGACACTCCTTCCTCAGTCGGCGTTAGGGGTTATGTGTGCTAGGAAAACTGGATCCCCACACAGTTGACAGGAGTCACAACTACCTGGAGACCTGGGCACTTGGTTTATCCCAGGGCAACTGGATTCCGCACTGCAACTCTGGCTGACGGGTCCACAGGCTGCCACCAGGGCAAGCTCTTCCTACCATCCAAGCTGGACCAGGACGTCGGACTATCTGACTGGGCTCTGGGAGTTCAGGCTCCAAAGTAACAAAATCCTAGGGATGAAGGATCAATCAACCATACCGGGAGTCTGGACTCTTCTGGACTTCCTGTCAAAAGTCAGGATCACTGGCTATCTGAACCAGAAGGCTACTAGGGACTGTTGGCAGCAAGGATTCTGCCAGAAATTCCAGGCTGTCGGGTCCTATAGATGCCCAGAGACATGCACAAGAAATCACCAGGGTCTTGCTTCCACCTTCAAATGTGTTGGTGACTCAGGCTTCAAAGCACGAAGATCCCTCAGGTGCCTCAACCATTGAAAAAAGTGTCCACGTGATGTCCAAACAGTGAAGTCCAGAAAACAGTTCAAGATTTCTAAATGCCCATAGTTGATGAGATTCGATATTTAGTGATCCATCCAGTTAACAGTGTTGATTGATAAAATTCAATTCAAGTCCAGAAACATAGCATGTGGTCAAAATAAAATGGAGTTTATATCATCTCAGATCATCCACTTCGGTACCCCGTACTCCCCTGTATAGACCAAGAGCTCGCGTGAAAAATGGTTAAAGTAAATATTCCAAAGGTATGATGGTTTTGATTGAAGTACCCCACAATAGTAAGTATAACACCACCCGTCTTCCAGACTGAAAATCTGGACAAACGTTCCCTTTGTGATTGTGAATTAAACTGTGCGTTCAGGTTTGGAGCAGACGGGGGCGTTATCGTAGCAGACGCCCTCAAAAATATGTCAAAAATGTCAAATGACAAAAATGAATATTCCAACTTGCATTTCACATCAAATGATAGACAATGGAAATATCTACAAGTTTTCTTGGGAGAGCAAATCAGCAGACGGCGGTCCAGAGCCGGCAGACGTCCATTTGTCATGTGAACTGGTTCCCTTATTTTTTCTGGACGATATCTGAATGATGTTATTCCAGGCTGAAATTCGGTACATTTGTTAAGTTTTTGATTGTGAATATCACTGTGATTTCAGATTTCGAGCAGACGAAGTCGTTATCGAAGCAGACGCCGTCAAAAATATGTCAAAAATGTCAAATGACAAGAATAAATATTCCAACTTGTATTTCGTATCAAATGATAGACAATGGAAATATCTACAGGTTTTCTTGAGAGAATAAAATCAGCAGACGGCGGTCCAGAGCCAGCAGACGCCCATTTGTCATGTGAAGTGGTTCCCCTATCTTTTTCTGGACGATATCTGAATGATGTTATTCCAGGCTGAAATTCGGTACATTTGTTATGTTTTTGGTTGTGTATATCAATGTGATTTCAGATTTCTAGCAGACGAATTCGTTATCGAAGCAGACGCCGTGACAAATATGTCAGAAACGTCAAAAATATGTCAAATTTGTCTAATAACAAGAATAAATATTTCAACTTGTATTTTGCATCGAATGATAGAGAATTAAAGAATCTACAACTTGCCACTGTAGAAAAAATCATAAGACGGCGGCACAGAACCGGCAGACTCCCATTACGTATACGATACGTAAGCGACGTCATTCCAAGCTCAAACATGGAGCATATGATATTTTTTTGTTTGAAACATTCACAATATTTTCAAATTTTGATGAAAGTAAAAGTCTTCCTTCTCTTATATGCAGAAAGGTTTCCAAATTATTGAAAATTGAAAAATAAATAGGATACACATCCAGACAAACAGAGTTCAATTAACTAGATCTAGATGAATAAGTATTATAGATTTAATTAAAGATGAACATATCTTTCATAATGAAATGTAGAAAATTTAAGAAAAAAATAACAGAACAAACAGAACATAACAAATGAAACTCATGGAAATATGCCATTAACTACTACTCATCATCGTCGCTACTGTGAGCGTCTTCAGATTCAAGTTCACTTGAATCATCGGCAGCTACCAGTACTTCATTTAGGTTTCGCGGAAATTGTCCGCTCTTGAACCAATTCATTTTATATTCGCCGCCTTCTTTAACCCATCCATTTCCTTCCGGGTTAAAGAAATTTGGTTTCTCACTGAAAGCAAATTTCCAAATAGCTGCAATTTGATTTGTACGTCGTATTTTGCAAATCAATGTATCCTTACAAGGAGGGATACGACTGGCCTCAAAATTCTTGATACCCCCGAAAGGAGATTGATTCGATTTTAGCTTGTAGCAATCCCAGAAAATTTCGAACCGAGCCTTATTGACGCTGGATAATTTTCGGTTCCCATAAATTTCGCAAACGTATTCTTCTATATCTGGAGAAATAGAACATTATTCAATTATCGAATTACTATTGAATATCGATGCATATATTGTTTCATGAGACAACGTTTCACTCTCTCCCATTCTACTGAAAGCTTCTTGGAACTTTTTGCTCTTCTCTAGTGATTTGAAAGGAGTCAGCTTTGCTTTTCTGGCAAATAAGGCTGTGTAGTCACAACCTGTGAAGGCGTGAAATGCTGGTAGAGCATTACACAAACTGGTACCTAGAGTGAATGCGATTTTATTGATGTCGACCAACCTCAGGTTGTTCTTTGGCAAAGTACCACATTCTGTTAGATGTTATGATGTTTATGTTATATAACCCTCTGTATAATATAATATATAATTATGATCATGTCTGTAGATGATAACAGTTGGAAAAGCTTGTTGATACTTCTGTCAGATTGAGAGAATTGTCAATAGAATATATATATTTTCGAATACCTACCGTTGTATAACTTATAACACATTCCATCCATATTTGAAGTGATAAAGCCATATTTTTGCTGCAAAATTAGGTAACATGATTGACCAGTACATTAAATTTAGAGTTATCAATTTGAACTCACCAAGAAGCTCTCTGAAACACACAAACACAAAATCTTCCAATAACAATCACTACAATGTTTTTGATGTGAAAGAAAATTGAGCAATACTACCACTATTTTGAATCAACGACCTTCACACGAGAAGTACAGGGCTAGTTTTATTAATGTGAAGCCCCCTTCATCTTCTTGGTTTTCTCTCCATCCGAGAATATTCAAAACTGATTTTTTAACGATATTTCATATTGATTTCGATCATAATGAGAGAATGTGGCAATATCTCTTCAAATATACAGGGTATACAGAAATATATTGATGTTTGTATATGGAATGCATTGTATATTTTGATAGATGATGATCCTCCTATATATATATGTTTGAAATCAGGATGATTTGGAGAATTCAAATTTATCGAAATATACAGGGCGTTTCATTTGAGAAATATATTTATTTTTGTTTACCCTATATATTATTATTTGAATAGATATTGCATCATCGTCAAAATGAGTGAAAACTGTTTGAAAAATTGTATAAAATCAATTTCAAAATTTTTCGAATGGGTGGAAAACAAAAAAGATAGAGTGGGGTTCACATTTATAAAACTAGCCCTGTCCGTACGTGAAAAAAAAAAACGAATGAGAAACACAATTCACACCCCACTCTCCAGAGCGTCGCACGTGCAGGGTCGTCTTCGAAGCACCGATGATTCAGTAATAAAGTTATCTACAGAAAATGTTTTGAATACGTCTTCCTCAAAACAGATAGAGTAGTAAGTGAATATTTCATTCCATTTGTATACAGATATAGATTGTAATAAGTCGTAGGTATATAGACAGAAGTTGAGAGATATTCAACAAGACAAATGGGCGTCTGCCGGTTCTGTGCCGCCGTCTTATGATTTTTTCTTCAGAGAAAAGTTGTAGATTCTTTGATTCTCTATCATTTGATGCAAAATACAAGTTGGAATATTTATTCTTGTCATTTGACATTTTTGACATATTTTTGACGGCGTCTGCTTCGATAACGACTTCGTCTGCTCGAAATCTGAAATCACAGTGATATTCACAACCAAAAACATAACAAATGTACTGAATTCCAGCCTGGAATAACATCATTCAGATATCGTCCAGAAAAAAATAAGGGAACCAGTTCACATGACAAATGGGCGTCTGCCGTCTCTGGACCGCCGTCTGCTGATTTTTTCTCCCAAGAAAACTTGTAGATATTTCCATTGTCTATCATTTGATGCGAAATGCAAGTTGGAATATTCATTTTTGTCATTTGACATTTTTGGCATATTTTTGACGGCGTCTGCTACGATAACGCCCCCGTCTGCTCAAAATCTGAAAGCACAGTTTTATTCACAATCACAAAGGGAACGTTTGTCTAGATTTTCAGTCTGGAAGAACTATTTTAATCTATTGACAAAAAAATTTACCTTCCAACACCCCCTCCTGAATTATTGCCTCCACTTGAAGGTGGCAGATGGGTGGTGTTATACTTACTATTGTGGGGTACTTCAATCAAAACCATCATACCTTTGGAATATTTACTTTAACCATTTTTCACGCGAGCTCTTGGTCTAGTATAAGGCCGTGATATCTGAAATGTACATACCCTATCGAATATCACTCACACAAAAAGAGATTTAATATTTACCTTCCTATCGGAAAGGCCTAACACAAAAGTAGGTGTCCACCACCTGACCTGATCGCACGAGAGCCAAAATCAAAAAGGGCCTCATTTTGGCTTCAGCACATGAAACCTTTTCGCAAGAGAAGGAATCAGCAAGAAGGATGATGAAACGGAAATTGCTTAAACAACAAGTTTCCGTCAATCAGAGCACTTGTGATCTATTTCAAAAAAATAATACAATCCAATTTTCGTCTCTGCGCAGCGTCAATCTAGCCACCCAAATAATATGATTCAAGTCAGATTCAGGGATGCAACTTGAAAGAAATATTAAATATCGATCATGACATCGATAGTCGATACGATAGTCGATACGATATTCGATACATTAGTCGATCCACCAGTCGATACAACATTGCGAAAATCCCTGCACCATTACAGGCCACTGCCACTTAACGCAACAAACAGTCTTCTACTGGCAAGAGATTATGATGGAAACAACAATATTCATGGGCATCTGACACATGTGTAAGAATTGTTAAGAAGTGGACTAAAATAACCCAACAGTCATCCAGTCACGGACATTGAAAATGAAAACATTTACCAAGATGGAATCATGTAAAGTACCTCAAAACCTAGAAAAGAAATCTTTGAGTTACGCAGTGCATCTCTACAAAGCTTCCCCATCACCTATTCTCAGAATTCACAATATGGAACACGAAAAGGCAAATTTTCATGTTACAACAGCGCCCCCTGTAGAACATCAAATGCTGCGCCAATTTATTTAAATTTCAAACAGGTCTTTGTTAAAAGTTCCATTAATGTCTGGCGTTTTTTTTCATTATTGAAAATTTGTCTGTATTACATACTGTACACCGTGTTCCACTCAAAAGTATTACCCTCTTTATTTTCGTAATATTCAATATATTTTTGACATTTAAAAAATCCTCTTTATTTGAAATTGAAAAGGCACAAGGGAATCCCTGGCGCATGTCATCAAGTTGAAAATCATAGCTATCCATGCCATGTGTACGTCAAGACAAATACAGTCAGTACCAATTTTTTTTGAAATTCCACACTGATTCATTTTAATCAGTATAAAATCATCTCTTTTTAACTCAGGATGTTCTTCAACAACTTTCTCTTGGGGTTTGTAAAAAAGTATACACGTATGGCTTTCTTGATTCATTTCCTGGACCCATGCCTCTACACTTGTAGCATCATTTTGATGTCTTACAACATCAGAACATAAACCAAACGATTTCTCAATGTTACCCAAGTCCTTTCTTGTTAGCAGGTGCAATCTATACAATTTTGAGTCACAAACTGAATCTCGAACTCGGTCTAAAATAATATTGAAAGGCACCTTGGGTGCAATTTTTGCTGCACATATTCTTCTTTCCAGTGTGCTTAGGTATAATATGACCTAGATCATTGGTTTGTCCTACATGAGAGCAGATACCATTTATTTTATTAGTGCCCTGGGTTTTCAAGTTTCGCATACGGTTTTGAACAGAAGAAATATAGAATCCCGATTTGTTACTTGCATATTTGATATGTTTTCCCAATGATGCAGGATACCTTCGGAGTGTAATACATCTTTAACTGGTTTAACATTCTACATTATTTTTCCATTTTTCAAATCCCACAATACTATCAAACGAAAGGTCTTCCTGTCTGAGATCAATATCATGCCTATTCTAGAAAAGACTGTGGAGTTCCTTTTGGAATGAACCATTAAAATGGCATAAGGGACATTTATGCAATTGTGCTTTATCTTCAAAAGCTGAATCACATACCGAATATTCAAATGGAAAGTGAACTGTTTTTTTCTTAAAAAAATCTCACCGCAATGGCAAGTGAAAGAATAAAGATGTTCTGCCTTATACCTGAATCGCATCAGTTCAGGATTCTTTTCATGGTTTTTCTTCATATGCCGCCTCAGATTAGAAATATCAGAAAATGATTTGATTTGTAGCAACCACCACATTTTTCCCTCACTTCTTCTCCAGTTTGGTTTTCCATATTTCCATGCCTGTAATTCAAATATAAAAAACTCCAACAAACCAACTTTAACAATTTGACATACATACATAACAACAACAACAACATAACCTCAAAATTCTCGTGCACGTGCGAGAACATAGATGACGAATTGTTAAGTTAACACTGATTCTTGAAATAGTGCGTTACTGAAATCTCCTGAGATATCAGTATCGTACAGGGTTCAGCTGTAAGTGATTTTGTCATTTGAGTGATATTTCCAGTCTCGTGGTTTTATCAATTTTTTTTTAAATGAAATGAACTTTGAATTGAAGGAATTCTTATTAGGTACGTTTAAATAAACCCACTCTCGATAAAAATCTTTATATTCTTCTACACAACAGAATGAAATCTATCAATCTCATCACAAAATACAAGAGTGAACTAAAGAAATATTATAGTGATGATTGAACCAGAACATGAAAGTGGTTCATTCTTCCCCTGAAGAAATATATTTTATCAATCAAACTGTCTTCTTTATATCCATTGATTCTGATCAAACTGTTTATCTTCCATCATATTGGATATTCGATTTGTTTATTTATTCATTCTTCTCCCCTCCATAAACATTTATGTCTCTTGGGATCAATAAATGTTATTATTGTATGTATATAAAAGTGGATATTGCGGTTTAGTAGAGACACGCTCGTTATATCTTCTGAATAACATGAGTGTAATGAAGCAGTAGTTGATAATGATTGAAAACGGGAGAGTATCACAATAGTTATGATATTCTGATGAAATAATTGTAATATTATAAACTTATGTGACTGCGACTGGCAACTTCTTTTTTTTTTTAATTTAGTCCATGTCTGTTCGTAAAGGTGAAGGGGTCCAACAAGGCATGCTGAAAATGCTAGAAGGCACAGTGGTGAACGTTCCTGAGCGAAATTCTCCTCGAAAACTCCGAGGTGAAACCATTCAAGTGGACACAACAAATATCCTTTTCGTCGCCAGCGGTGCCTATAACGGCTTGGAGAGGCTCATACAACGGAGAAATAATGAAAATGTAAGAATAACTTATAAAAACGAACCAAATTTAGTATATAAAATTCGGAATACTATGATATAATATAATAATAGTAAATATTATTTAGTATTAGGTAGGGCTGTGCAAAAATATCAATATATCCGATAACAAAATCAATCTAACGATGACCAAATTCTCGATATGGTGCCAATCTAACAACATGATAATTAATTATGATAAGAGCTCCACCATAGTCATCGGCTATCACTCAATCTAAGAATTTTGTTCAACAACACTGTTAGAAAACAATTTCAATTCTGTAAAATTCCTGGAAACCTAATTCAAGTTTTTTTTGCAATTTCATCTCTTGAAAACAATCTGCACACACATTCCCTAACGGATATTTACTATGCCTTTGTGTACTCGACTGTGTCATATAACATAATAGTGTGGGGTCAGGCATCCGAGATTGAACGGGTCTTCATCGGACAGAAACGGATCATCAGATTGCTATTCAATCTCCCATTTGATTCGTCTTGTAGATACAGATTCAAACAACAAGATATCCTCACCGTTTCCTGCATCTACTTATTTAAAATACTTTTATATATCCACATTAACAAAAATACTCTAACCAATATTTAGACCTTCATAACTACATTACAAGAAAAACTTCTAATATAAGACTCGAGAAACCGCGTTACTCTTACCATGAAAAATCACCAATATATGCTGGTAGTCATCTTCATAATGCCCTACTACTGTGAGATATTGAATTCAAGAAAAATCTTGAAAAAATCTTCTGAATAAGTGCTTTTATTCGAAATATGAAGTTGTGGATTATTTGACAAATATTGATATGATTTGATATTCATGCTATTTATGATTAGTTTTTATGACTTGTAAAAATTAGTTATGTTATGTCCTCAACTTCTGATTTATGTATATTATGTATACCTTTTTTATTCATCTTATCAATCATTATTTGTTTGTTATTCATTGTTGTGTATGTTAGTGTGTAATTTTTTGACGAATCCAATCTATTGTATAATAGCTTATAGAGTAATAAAAATGATGATGATATGTAGATAATTTTCATGATATCATCAAAAAATTATCAATACATATCGATATCGAATTTTCAATATCGCACAGCCCTAGTATAAACTCCAATTTCAAATTTGGGCCAAACACATCAAAATGAGAATAGACGCAATCAATTTGAGATAAAACTATTTTCTAAACAGTTTGAAATAGGGAAACGACATATTATCGCAAAGTAGAGTTGACAATATAATATTTTACATGGTATCCCATTTACTTATTTTCAAAGATAGAGATTTGCGGTTTTCGCGAACGTTGGCTATTTTTTTTGTGAAATTCTCTATACCGCAAAAAAAATTTTCATAGCATTCTTCATTTTTGAAATACACAGCAAATTTTAAAATGTTGCATTTTGCGACACCTCTTGTATGTCAGCTATCTTTAAATTCATTGAAAAAGTAAAAACTATCTTTTATACACTTTTTCACGTTGAATCCAGTGGCGTAGTCAGATTTTCGAAATAAGACGTTATTATTCAGATATACTTATCCCTAAGTTATTTTCGTTTCAATGAACACCCTGTATATAAACAGTGATACATTGCGTTTTCCAAAAGTACATAACATATGATATTCTGGGATTTTTTTACAGGAACACTGACCACATTGTATTGTTCTTCATCGTTCCAAAGCCGATATACAGGGTGTTTCCTAACTACGGTTCTTGACTGCATGTGGTGATTTTTAGGTCATTTTAGGAAGGAAAGTTCCTATGAACATATGTCCGGAGTTGATTCGTTTCTGAGATACAGGGCGATGAAATCCAAGAAAAAAAACGGTAATTACAAAATATTATGAATATCCTGGAACCGATTTGGTTGAAATTTGGTTCTTTCGTTTGAACTAATGAGGCGCTTATTTGGCCCTATTTAGATTGGAAATATTGGGGCCAGTGGCGTCTCAGTGGGCACCACAGCCAACAGTATTGTGAAAAAAAAAAGTACGCCACTGACTTTTTTTGGTAAATTTTTATTTTCTTCAGATTGAGCAATTCAAAATACAACTTTTTGGTCTCATGTAATTTCTTTCCATCCAGTTTCGTTTTCGAGAAAAAAATTGAAGCCACTATATTGCATATCATTAACACCTGCATTGGAGAAATGAGTTTTCCATTATTTCCGCCAGAAATATAATTGACACTTGATATGCTGAAATTCTAGAAAATTTTACAAATAGAAGAACCAAATTTCAACCAAATCGGTTCCAGGATATTCATGATATTTTTTTATTACCGTTTTTTTCTTTAATTTCAACGCCCTGTAATCTCAGAAACGAAGCAAATCCGGACATACGTTCATAATAACTTTTCTTCTTAAGATGACCTAACAAATCACCCCCTGCAGTTGGGAACCGTAGTTAGGAAACACCCTGTATAAACTTCAATGTGATATCCATAAAGGGTTTAAAAAAACAGGCACATCTAAGTAACATTTTTGCGAACTTAATAATTATATACTGGGAAACGGCGAGTTCAACATACTATAGTAGACATTGTTTTGTCTTTCAAATCATGATTTTATACCTACCAGAGCCATTGAATGTTCCAAAATTTGCAGGTAATTGAATTCACTATTGAAGCCAATCCTGTAAATTTGGAATGAGGTGATGTTTCGCTTATGGAGGTTTTACAACATGAGGAACAATAATATGAAGTTGATTTTCTTGCAAAAAAGTCCTAATATCCAATCGCACAACTAATAGCTGAGATATAGAGGGGCGCCGTTTAAAGTGAGAGATGCTGTATACAGTATGTTATTTTCTTTTACTATTTTGCGTCTTTAGTGAGGTTATTATGACAGCAAAATGCGTATCTAAACACACTGAATTTCTTCTTTCAAAGTTGGTAATGTGACCGTCAAACTGTCTGACACGATTGACACGAAGTTTTGTATGAATGAGAATTAACATTCCATTGCTTTCTGTTTGTTACCAACTACGAAATTGTTTTTGTCTCATTTTTATAGTAACCGATCACCATTTTCACTAAAATAATATGCTCAAATTTTCAAATTTAATTTTGATTCAACATCTGCACTAAAATCTCAAAACTGTCTGAGTACCCAGCTGGAATCAAATTCATCAGTAATAAATTGATATTGTTCAAACTGAGATTGAATTTATTTTTATAAGGTAACTATTTTTACACGTGACCCAATCACAAACTAGAACAGTCACTCAAGATCATATATGTCGGGCTCTCAATCACAGCACTAATCCCTAGTTAGTTATTATTTTAATTTATGTTTTCAGTATCTAGGTTTTGGAGCTCCTGTTTCAAGTAGTAAGGGTAGGAGAGCAGTGGCACAAGAAGCAACTATGCATCAGTCATCTCAGAGCGCTGCAGAAGAGAACGCAGAAAAAGATTCTGCCCTAAGGCAAGTTCAAGCCAGAGATCTTATCGACTTTGGAATGATTCCTGTAAGTGAACTTGATAGCTACTTCTGTTTTTTTTTTGTAATCCTAATAGTACCACCACACAGAATCTTTTGGGATTCGTGAATCGGAACATCTTGACCCTCAACAATTTATTAACACGTTGAATGCTCATGGCACGGATCCGTGACAGACTGAGTTCTCAGATAATGCTCATGACAAGGATCCATGGCGCATGCACATTCTCAATATTAATTTTTTCTACTATTTATGCACTCATTTTAGTGTTGAAAAAGTCACTTTTCTGCACTAGTGAGGAAAAAGCTTTTTCCTACCACCACTTATGACAGCAGCATATAGCTGTGTTGTTGCTCAGAAATTGTCTTATGTAACCATAGCAATGCAAAAGTGAAAACGATCAGTGTGGCAATATTTCCACACGCTCTCGTGATTTTTGTTCTATACAGTGTGGTCATTTGAGTGTGCAACATATGGAAATCTTTTTAATGAATTGCACAACCAAAATACAGATCGTGCCAAAAGTTGGTGCATGTTCGGGAATCATTTTAAGTGCACCTAAAATGGTTGCAAGTATAAAAATATAAAAATTGCTCAAGAGTAAAGTACCATTATTTCCGAAAATTCAGCAAAATTGTATTGAGAAAAGTTGTTTACAATTAAGAGTTATGCCTAATAACCAAAACATGGCCTCCTTAGACAATTTTTAATTTTTCAATTTTTCTTGTTAATAATTTCCCAATTTGTAATTTTTTTTATATTCACCCTAAACACTTTCATAAGTTGATCATAACAATATCAGTTGATGAAAGCAGCTCTTCAGAGAGAATCTGAAAATGCAATAAAATACAGGATGTCCGATTCAAAATAAAAAAGTTGTTGCTACTTTTCGATAGAAGCGGCAACGCGGTAGAGCTGAAAATATCCCAGATCGAGACCAATAGCAAATTCTTTGGGTAACCAACATTTCAGAATGATCCCATGTCCCGTTCTCCGTAAACGTCTAACCTACCTTCGACCGTGAGTCACCTTGTACATATATATATAGGCATATAAAAAAGTTCAATATATTTTATATTTCATATCGATAACAAAAAAAAAACACTGAACCTAAATTCATTTGAATGATTTTGGTAACAAGAAACTAAGGAGATAATTCTTATAATCCATCAAAACATAGATGAGAGAACAGAAAACTCTATTCACATGATTTTCTATTCAAAGAATAACTGTATCTGGCCTTGGCCAATTTCAACCAGTCCTTCACAGACTCCTCAATAGCTTTGTCAGTGATAAGATCTTGCTCATCCCTTCCTCTGCAGCTATACCTTACAGCTTCTGAAAAAATATTATATTAGGGAGAGAACGGCTAGACATTTTTTCAAACTTACCCCTAGCCACTTTCATCATATTGGTACTTTCAAACGGTCTTTTGTCCCTTCCAGCTCAATTGAATTTCATTGGCACTTCATTTCTTGAAAGGAACTTGAGCATTCCCATACCAGAGCTTCTGACAGATGCACCACCAATAGCTGCCAGACGTTTTTTCTGAGGAAATATAAGACATATGTGGAAAATAATTAGGCAACAAGTAATAAGATTGAGTAGGTTTTTACCATATATTCGAGAGACAGCTCTTCATTCAGAAATGTCTCCAGAGCTTTGTATTGCTGCTTGTTTGAAACATGGCAGGTTAGGCAAATTCGCAGGTCTCTCAAGTTGCGAAATACTACCTGAAGCTTGATTTCTTGAAATTCAATCAAGGATGATTGAGTGTTGGTCTTGGGTAGCTATGATTTGTTCTAATTTCTTCAAAAGAAGTTCTGTCAGAGCAGAATTTTTTAAATGACGACGGTTCAAAACAGAACACGTTATATAGTAGAAGGCGTATCATAAGACAATAATTGACTACAGCTGTTATTATCTTGTGGCGTTGAGCTCCTCATGATGGTGGTATTAAAACCAGAGTTTTTTTCACCTCGGACTTCCATTGGTGCATTGAGTTATGTAGTAACTTAAGTATTACCTCGAGTAGTACTATAGGTAGTGTAACATGAAAATTTACCTTTATTCAAACTCAATTATCAGAATGGTACAGTTTCCTCTTTTTGTGCTCAGACTTGAGTCAAGTATCATCCAAAGTAAACAGCTAAGCATTTAGTTCACATTTTATTACAGGAACTTACAAGAAGTGAATAACATTACATGACAATTTTGGGTTTTTCATCCTGTTTTTGTGCCTGTTGGGTCGGTTGGCTCACTGCTTATGTTTTTGGGAATATTGATGCCTAAAATTGAATTAAACATGTAGGTTTTTACACAGTCATAGTGATAACTTACCTGAAGTCAGTCCCTGTATTCTTTAAACTGAAGTGGTCATCTCCAAGCAATCTTTGAACTCCAGGAACAATCTGAAAAGAAAAACAAAAGATTAGGTGAAATCATAAAGAAAGTGTTTGAGCTTCAAGAAGTATTGTACTTACCAATTGAGTCATGCAGATGCTATGGCTTTCTTTATTTTTTTTCAAATTCGTTTTTCTGGAAAGTATTTTCAAATTCGAATTTGTTTATTTATTTTCATTGGCTGTCAACATGATAAATTACAATTTGTCCAAAGTCAAATATCAAATTGTTTCATGTCAATGTCATAGGTCACAAGTCACGTCAGATTTGTTTCTTCGTTCATATTAGGGTTGTTCGTTTGCACTTGAGAATCAGTCTTAAAGTCAGGTCGAAGTGAATACTAGGTGGAAAGTCATGTCATTAAAAAGGCGTGTGTCATATGTCAAGTGTCACCGAACCACGTGGGGTAAATCCTATTTTCTCATTGGCTAGAGGTTGGAAAGAATTGATGGCCTGTGATTGGCTTAGAGCTCAACTTGTGCTTACGCATGAGCGGCGTTGTTGCGCAGAAAGCATAGCTGGCTCTGGTTGTTTTTTTTTCAAATAGGTTTCACTATGATGTGATTTTGTTTTTTCGACGAGGAGAACTTTCTGGGAAGGGATCGTCCCTTTTCCGTTTGCTTGATCGACGCCATCATGTCAGCGAAAAGGGCATTTTCGATTTTGTCCTGCAAGGTGGTAAAACACCAATTTAAATTGTTTTTCGGGTGTGAAGCCGATCCCCCGTGGAAGATCTGCCGGCTTCCACTTGGCCCCTTTTATTCTGGTAATGGCCGATGGTCATCAGCAAATATCGACCGCTGTTCACCAGAAGACACCGTCCGCTGCTCCTTGACTGCCAATGACTCCGTTTATACTGACCTGATCCCCGAAGTCTATCCTGACTGCTGTTTCGACGCCGAAGTGCCCCCAGAGTCCACGTGGTCTCTAAAGTCTATAGAACCTCCCAATCCTGAGTACTCCCAGGTCAGCGAGAGAAGTACCCCCAGGAAGCTGCAGGCAGTCTATAGCCTCCAACATGGGCTGTTGAAAGTAGCACATGTTGCACAAGTTGGTGTGGCATCTCCAGAGTTCCTGGAGTTCTGAGGTGCTGGAGGCCACTCCACACTCCACAGTAATGGGTGAGCTCCATCCAAAAAGGATTTTCTTTTTATTTTTAAAGTATTGATCACCAATAGTAGTGCCAATCACCTAATTTAGTTTTAAACTTTAAACTTTAAACATGTGAATTGGGTTTTTTTCTCATATATTTAGTCTCATCTAGCAATGATGTCAATTTTTTAAAGTTGGTCTGGTTCAGAGTATAAATGACTATCAGGGTTGTAAGACACAACGCTCCCTGTAAACCTATATGCAGCTGCACATGGTAAATGTTGAGTCCCCCTGAACATCCGAAATTAGTAGTCTTTGTCAGGTTGTAACATAAAACTACTTACATATTTTAACACCTTAGGGGTGTGATACCAATCTTCAGGAATTTAGAAGGTACCACATTTTTTTACTAAACCATCATTGAATAAACTAGTTGACTGAAATTCACTGTTTTGATTTCTTATTTTTCTCTACACCAAATTTAAGTGGCGCCCCTTTCAAAATAAAAAAAACTGTTTGATGATTATCTGACCAACCCACGTCCCAGCTCTCCAGACACATTGGCTGCCGTTTCCTTGACAACACCATTTTGCTGTTTTTGGTATTTATTTTGGGGTAAGTCTCTAGAAAATGCAAAAGGTGGTGACAAGATTTGGCGACGCAACGTGTAGGGCCAGTTTTTGAATTTTTTTGAAAGTATTTTTTATGTGAAAGGCACTATTGGTGAATTATTTCATATGTTCATATTTTTTTATATCTGCATAACATTTTCTGGTACATTTGGGAATTTTTGGGGTCACTTTTGAAAGGTGAAAATTAGGTACTTTTCCATGTATGAGCAGTGGATTTTCTGGTCCAACAGGGACAATAACTGGGGTATTTTTTGAAGTATTGAACATACTTATTGAATTTTTCATGAAGGTAAATTGCAATGTTACATTCACTTTCTTTTTTTGGGTATGGTATTGTGACCATCCTTATTTTTTTGCATAATTAGGTGATTTCAGCTTTCTTTGCAAGAGAAAATTACAGACTTTGCAGGATTTGGCATACTGACATTGTAGGTTCTCATAAGTTGAGTTTATTTGCATTTATGGAATTTTTTTATGAGAAAAAATATTTTTTTTCACTTGTGTCAGCTGACACTTATAAAATTTTTGAGAAAATTGAATTTTCGAAAAATTAGCACTATACAGGGTGATAGATGCTTGGTATGCAATATTTGATAAATATTTGCGGATTTCTTTCATGTTTGATGAAAACATGATATAGCTACCTGGTACGGAATATTTGGTAAATACTACCGGATTTTTTTTCCATATTTGATACAAACACTATACAGGGTGTATTTTTATCAAATATTTTGAAGGCGATTTCAATACTTTCATGATTGAAGGAATTAATTAATCATTGTACAGGGCGATAGTTCTTCGGTGGTAAAACTTTTTAGAAATATTTTTTTGGAAATTTTTCTGAAAATTTTTTTGAAAATTTTGAATTCTTGAATTTTTGCAAATTTCCAAATTCTTGTA